AATCTCCAACTCGACTATCACGCTCCGTTGCTGCAAAGCAAACAAAGGGGTGAATCGATACACTTCCGAGCGGGTGTTAAACAAAACTTTGCACACCACGACCAACGCGTAGATCAGTCTCAACTCGCACAAAATTGAACAACTAGCAGCGTTTTATTGTTTCGTTTGCGTTCATCTAGAAATACAAAAGACTGTGCTTCGTTCGAATGCTGTCGCTTTTGAATGCTTCTGTCGCTCTAGTCTCTCATACCCCGCCCCCTCTTTTTTTCAACCCTCGGCTTGACAGTGCGTCCCAGTTTGTGACAGGTGGCAAAGGGTTTCCGCGCTGCGAGCTTCTTTTGTGTTTTGATGATTTACAGACGCTCTGGTGTTGTTCTCCCTCTACGCATAAGGCACCCACGCCTCCAATACCCATTACTTTTTATTATTTCTTTATTTTCCAATTCTATGATAGAGAGCACCATGGCGTGTAGTATTATTTTGTTTTTCGTTTTCATGGACGTGTCGTGGATCGGGGACGGGGGAGGGAGGGGTGGTAGGGTGAGAGGGTCAATAAGCAGCACATGATAAAGTTATTACAGCGTCGATGGCTGACGGCTGACACCCGTCAGAGGGACCCTCCAGCGTGAGAGAAACAAAACAAACTACGAACCGCCACGGCCACGTCACGCTACGCGCGTATCACATAAAGTTGGCGGCCGTGCGGGACACCTCAAGCGGCCCACTGTCAGTGACCCGGCACCCGCTACGGCACCCACCGAGAGGCTGGAGTTAGGCGCCACCTTCTGTCAGAGGCAAGCAGAATAGAAAGCTCTCGCAACCATCCTACAGGGTGCCCGCTCTGCCCCGTAGTTTTAAAAAGATACACTAGCCCGCCCGCACCGCTCCGTCTGTAAGCGGCCTAGTCTACCTTTTCAAAAGTACGAGGCAGAGCGGCCACCCTGTATGGTTAGCTCACGGACCGTTGAACGTTGAACCCAACATTAACATGGTCGTGAGTCGTGAGAACTAACATTTAGTTTAAAACTTGATCCATTCATTGTTGTTCATTGTTGTAACTGTAATATCATTATGGTCCCTGGGCTAACCGTGTGATGGTTGATTACAGCTCTCCCTTTTTTTAATGATTTCACTCGCTACGGTAAAGCTATTTACTTCAAAATAAGAATATTTTTTTTGAGCGAAACGAACGGAGGGACAGTTTTATCCAACAATAATAATTATTTCAGCGTCGAAAATTGCTAGAACGTTAACTCTATGTATGTGCGGTAACGGTTTGCGGTTTCTTGGATGTCAACCTGAGTTTCCAGTTCGACACAGCACCGCCTCCCATAACCCACTTCGGACGTGCGTTCGGCGCGGGTCGCTGTCGCTGCCAATTCGTGATATCTATGCGCAGCGGGGTCAATAGCAATAAGTGAGCGGTAGACCTGCGCAGACAGATACACTCTTATGTAGGTTCCATGCCTTCGCAATACAGCTGATTTAATATGCCAATGTATGTTTGTAGCTCATTTAAAAATTAACAGGGGCGCACAACAAAAAACGGCACTGTGAAAAATGTGATTGTACATGTAGAATGTGTTTTGTAATGTGTTATTTACGAAATGTGTAGTTCACTTAATGCACAACCTCCCTCCAAGTTCCCACTCTTGCTCATCAGTCGGTTTCAAGTCCAAGTGCTTGTACATTTAAAACAATCTTGAATTGTAGTTGTACGAATTCTTCCGTGGAGAATTTTCCTGTGCACTGTAGGGAGTTTTTTGACAGTGGGTGTCGCGTGCTTATTGGAGAACAAAGAACGCGAAGGTGTCCTCCTCTGTCGCCCCAACTACCGAGCTGTAAGCCTAACGCCCCACTCCGCCACGCCCCACCTTGTCCCGCCCCTCCCAACCACGCCCCGCCCAGCACTCACAGTGCTGTACTCATACGGGGCACACGGCGCGGCGCCAAGTCCCCAATCCATTACCGCCTTGAGGCCCGGAATGAATGAAAAGAGATGGGCGTGCGGGGAGGGAAGGAAGAGGAGGGAGGGGAAGGGAGGGGGGGGGCGCAAGGGTGACAGTAATTTCTGACACTTTTCAGCCCGAGCAGCAGAGCAGGAGGGCGAGGGAGAAACGAAGAGAGGGGAGAGGAAATAGCGCGAGACAGGGAAAGGAGAGAGAGAGAGAGAGAGAGAGAGAGAGAAGGCGAGAGGTGGCGCGCGCTGCGGGGGTTCTTAGTAGGGGTGTCAGATGGGGCTCGCGCCTCTCTCCTCTCTTCCTCTCTTTCACTCCCTCACGACTCTCTCTCTTCGCGCGCGCTCTCCCACGCGGCTGCTCAGAGCCGCCGGGCGAGCTACAAAAGATGGCGCGGTAGTGGCGCGTCTCTCTTCTCAGAGAAGAAATGATGACCTCCACATCGCTGGCGGCAGCGAGAGCAAGGACAAAGCTTTATTCTGGGAGCCCCATTAAGGCGAGGCGGTAGGGCAGGGCGACGTGGTGCGGACGCCTCACCTGCCGACCTGCCGCCGGAGGTTAAACCAGCCCGCCGCACCCGCAGAGGCAAATCCGTTAAACAATCCCCCCCCCCCATTTCCCCCTGTACTGGTCCCGTTCTTTGTCGTCTCGCCGACTGCGAGGGCCGGGGCTGGGCTACCCGTAGCGTATCGCCAGTCTGGGCGAAACATCGGCGCCAACGGGTTGCCGCGCGGTCTAAACTTTTCGGCAGTCAATCCCGACGGATCGAGGAGTGTGTTTCCCTGGTTGCCTATACCCGGGCCCCGCGACCCGGCCAGCCCAGCCGGCCAGGGCTCGCGCAGCGGATGGGATGGGAGAGAGAGAGGGGGAGAGAGAAGAGTCAGAGAGTCCGTGCCGGGCCGCAGACGGACTTATGTCCCTCCAGGGTGTGCTGCGTCACTTTTCACTTCATGCTGACCACCAACCCCGCTTCCCCTTCCTCCAGGCCCACACCCCTGCCTCCCTGCCAGGTTGCGCAGCAGGGAGGAAGTAGGAGGCGCCGCAGGGTCGTGGCCCCCACGAACAAGTCAAGGCCAAAGTAAACTGCAAAAAAAAGCTGGATTTTCTTCTTATGAAGTCCCATTTGCTTCGAGACATTTTTCACGGTGTTAAACTTGTTTTAAAAATTTTCAAACATTATTTCAAAAATCTAATTATTTTTGAAAATTTCAAGTTCTAAAACCTCCAAAAAGTTCAAAAACTATACACATAAATATTAAGCTTGTGCTCCTATAAACAAGAAAAGCCCCCCAAAACCGTCGGAACCATGAAACGGAAACGAAATCACTCTCATCCTGAATTGCTTCCGGTTTCTCTCCTTACAAAGCACTGGACAAGTCGTTTCGCACACCTTTATTCTACTTGACCCCGGAGGGCCGCCGACCCCCAACCGACCCCACCCGATCACACTCCGGGCCAAGCCGTTCGCCATCAGCGACACAACGTACTACCACCTCCCACCCCGCACCACCCTCCGCCCCTCCTCTGCCGACCCTTGACGCTCCGCGATGGAGAAGGAGGGGGGGGGGGGTGACCACTTAACCACCAGGGGGGATAGTGTGCCACTGTTTGTCACCGGTTCGTCGCACGAAAATTGATTTCCGAGCAATGGCGGGTGGAGTGCTGGTGTCGTGCTTGATGGAAGGGCGGCGAGAGAGAGAGAGAGAGAGAGAGAGAGAGATGACTGACATGACGATCCTATCGACAACAAAAGATGGAGCGCCTCTCGAGAGCAGCAACAGCAGCACCAGCTGCTGCGATTAAGAGGAAACAATAATGAGTTTCTGGTTCACTAGTTCACTCATTCCCCCATCTCTCTCCCTCTCTCTCTCTGTGGTATGAAACCCCGCTAGCTGGTACCCGACGGACAGGGGGAGGGGTTTGCTTCCTCTAACTTTTTGCGACGACATTATTCATGAAGCGCGATAAAAGTGAAAAGAGGGGGAAAAAAGGCAAGAGTTATAGACGAACATAAAAAAAAGTTCAGCTCAAACATTTCTACCTTATACAGCAACAACACAATTATTGCGACGAAAGCTGTCTGACGAAAGCAAGCAAACGCACACCATACTCGACACTGCGGGCTGCGAAATGAGGCAAAGGTGTGTGTGTGTGTGTGTGTGTGTGTGTGTGTGTGTAGGAGGAGGCGGGGGGTGTTTGTTTGCTGGGTCCTGCTTACCAGAGCGACAGAGAGGGAGGGAGAGAGAGAGAGTGAAAAGGTAAGGGGGAGGGGGAGACAGCCCGCTATGGCATGTTCGCGGCGTGTATTCAGTATTCAGCCTCTGTTTACACCAAGTTCTGGTCGGCGCAGACAGAGCAGCAGGCGGGCGGAGGCATAGGCAGGCTCAGGCAGCAGGTGTGCACACGGGAGCCTCCGGGCCCCGCTGGCGCCGATTCTAGTGCGCGTTCGACGCACTTCCGAGGCACTTTACAGTTATGTTCATATTTGCAAGGGACGAAAAGCATATACTATCGTGGCTTAATGTTAGATAGTGTTTAGTCATGCGACCGTTTTTCCTGTGGTAGCTACACACATCAGATGTGACAGGATACGTCCATTTTCCTCAGATTTATGTCGCTATTTAAGGGGGCTTGGCGCCTGTGAGATTCGGGATAGGCCAACCCGCAGTACACGCATGCACTGACGGTAAGATGTTGCCTACCTATCAGGCGCTATAAGTACCGGGTGTCCTGTCCAGGCGCGGTGGCGTAGAAGTGGCAGCTTCCCTACCACACCCCCGCCACCCGCCCGCGTCTGCCGCCCCTGCAGCCAGTTCATAGGCAACCAAACGTACCGGCTTGTCTTAGTCTCGACACCCGGTACTAGCAGAGCATATGAACATCTTCGCAAGTTTGTAACGGCGAATGGTGGACGTACTTTCTGGTCTGGATGAGCTAAGTCGATAATTATTCGTTATCTCAGTCAACAACAATAAACGGATCAACTAAGGGCTAAGGGTCGTTTCTTTTCCATGCGTTGACGTTGTCGTTTCGTGTGCGCAGGACGAGCATGCTGCTGTAGGCGGCGGCCATGACGGAAGAAGAGCCGGCGGGCGAGCGGCTCGACCCCGAGGACCTCGGCGAGGATCCCGAGGACGGGGTGGTGGCCTCTCCGCCCCTCGCCGCCCCCACGCAGGCGGCCACCCCCTCCGCTGCTGGCGCCGCCGCTGCGGACGTGCCCACGACCACCATCACCACCACCAGCGAAGACGATGGCCCGAGCGAGACGCCCGCCGCCGCCAGCACCACCGTCATCGCCGACGACGAGGGGTCAGCCGACCCGGCCGACCCGGCCGACCCGGCCGACCAGCCGCAGACACTGGAGACGGCGGAGAGGTAGGTCGTCAACCGTTTCAGAATAAAAGAGCGTAGTAAAAGCAACGAGGTGACGACGGCGAGGGCGGTAGAAAATAACGAAACAACCCTCGCACCAGCGGTCCTCCTCGGTCGTGCCCTGGCCGGCCGAGAGGAGGTCTGTAGTTTACAAGGCCGTAAGGGTTAGAGGGGCCACCGCTCCCTTTTATGTCCTTTACAAAGCAGCGCAAAGCCTTGCGATTTGCATCGCCGGCCGGATTGGCTTGGAAGGGGGGAAGGGGGGTAGCAGCCAGAGAGGACGCGGAGAAGTTCTCCAGAGCAGGGTCCGCGCGTCCTCGCCTCCCTCCAGCATCGACTCTTGAGCTGGGGCCGCGGGGCCTCGGGCCGTGCGGGTGGGCGGGCGGCCACTCAGTGAAACAGACGCGCCGCCGCCCCGCGGGGAAGCAGCAGCATGCGCGGCCAAAGAGGCCCCCGGGGGCTGCCCGCTGCCCTCCCTGCGTCCCGCCCGCGCTGTGACGTCTCGGGCAACGCACCCCACGCTCCAGGGCTGCCCTACACACTAAAAGGCCCGCGGAGGGACAGTTATTTTTGTACGTAGACTGGGCGTGTCTTTGTGCACATCTAAATCAAATACAAATTTGTATCTACGTTACATACAAAACAATTCCTTTGTACCCAAGCTTAGGAGGTACAACTTGTAACTCTACTTACATACAAATTTGTATCTGACGGACACAAGGACACATCTAACATAGACACACAAATTGTCTCTCCCCGAGTGTACGCCCCGGCCCGATTGTGACGCCCTCGGGATGACGCCCAACGAGAGCTCCTCCTCAGGCTGCTCCTCGACGCGGCCCAAGAAGCGATAAAGGCCTTAAGGCGTACTTGTGTTCTTGTTCCTTGAAGCCTTCCTCAACTCAACAATAACATCAACAAACAAGTCATCGTTATTTTCGCCCACAGTAGAAAACGTAAGCTTATATGACTTGAAGGAGGGATAGTTGCGACTTCCTTTTGGCGGTTTTCTCACCGACGTCACGCCAACGTCCAAGGTGGACAAGCAAGCAGAGCTAAATTTCCATAATGATCATCCAGAAAGTACGAACGTCATTCGTCGTTACGGAACGGCGGCGGCGGCCGAGTTCACAGCCTACGCAGGCAGGCTGTCCTAGCGCCTGGTGGGTTGGCAACTTCTTGCCTGCATTGCATACGTGTGCTGCGGGCTGGCCTATCCCGAGTCTCGCAGGCGCCGAGCTCCCATAATTAGCTGAAATGGATCTGCGAGGGAAAGGCAGTCTGGACAATCATCATA